CACACACACACACACACACACACACACACACACACACACACACACACACACACATTTATGGGTTAACATCAATGTTTATCAGGTTTGTTTCCAAACAAAGCATCTGATAATAACATTATATATTTTAAATGAATGAATTTGATCTTTAATCTTAAAGAAATTTATGTTTTAATAGTTTTAAAAGTCTGTGAGAGCCGCTGGGTTGGCCTCAGTTAGAGACGAGTTACGTCTCGTGGAGATTTAAATGTGATTCCTCTGTTTAAAGGCAATGAAGGATTCACAAATGGACGTGAGCCAATAAATCAGGTGATGAGAGTCGGCAGAGTCTGGGATGTTTTTATCTCTTCTTCTCCTCAGAAAGAACATCAATGCATTTCAGGCATGTACAAGGACACACAGTTGTGTTTTTACTCATCACAGGAAAAATACATCAGAGGAGGCATTATTGTGTTTCAAATATCCACTTTAAAACAGAAAACAGCTAAAAAAACATTTAGTAGCTCAAATTTGACTACAGTGAATGTAGCTGGTGATAATATTAAAATAGTTCTCATGATGGTGTGTTTATTTTTAGGATTAATTTCTTCTGCAGTGTGTTTGTGTGTGTGTGTGTGTGTGTGTGTGTGTGTGTGTGTGTGTGTGTGCAGGGTTTGCCCACCGACTGTTGTGATGGGTCCTCCAGAGGAGTTTCTGGTCACACGAGCTCTGGGACTGTGCGGCCTGACAGAGGAAACCATAATATTTCAGTCACATTGTCCTTGTTTACAGCTGAAGTTCAAGAAAAGCGATGGCAGATGATCACACGTACCTGGCCTGTTCCATAGGACGACCATCTTGTTGGATGATAGTGGCCTGCTGTGGGTAGACGATGGTGGGAGCAGTCATGACGACAGTTCGTGTTTCACAAGGTACAGACTGTGAAAAAATAAAACAGATTTACAATGAAACTCGGTGGGAGGATGTGTGTTAGCAGTCAGGATTTCATTTCAAAATGAAATGGCTAAATTGAGCTGTCCAGACCCTTCAGATGCCCCAGTTTTCATCAATCCCTGTCTTTTGTGCTGCATTTAGGTTCTTAACAGTGCACTACACAATGTTGGATAATTTGTCCGCTTGTTTGTGGCAATTTAATGAAACACCACAGTGGGTATATAAATCATAAGCACATTTTATAAACATTCAAAAGCATAATGGAGGTATTTAAAACTAGATGTTCACACAAGGCTCCTCTCAACAACACAAAGTAAAGATGTTTACTGTAATTATGTTGTCAAATAAATGTGCAATTAATAAAATTACCACAAACAATGAACCTGGGGCGATCAGAGAAACCCCTGCTTTGCTCAGAGAAGAACTGTTGATGGCAGACGTTCTGCACACAAACAAAATAGATTTGCCTCCACCAGTGTGACACTGAGACAGCTGTCTTTGTAAAATTATAAAACATGGTTCACTCAACATGACAATACTGGAGTGAGAGTCGGTGTTCATATAATGAAATGCAATGATTATAATGAAATTATGACAGAGGAGGGAAGAGATGCTCACTTAAAGGAAAATCATCTACAACTACTTAGTGCAGGAAAACAAGCTGTACACAGTGACCTTCTGATATTTGTTAGATCTCTGAGCCGTCATGTTCAAGTGTTTACTGATCATAAAGTTTAACTCCCCTCATTTCCAGTCATCTCTAATTTGTCTGGTCTCAAATAAAGACACAAATTGCGCCCAGGTAAAAAATGATTTCAAACAATGAGCACGAATATGGAACAAAATAAGGAGAACTGAAGATGTAAATTATAGTGAATACGAACGTCAACATACTGTACATCTGTTCCACTTTACTGTTTCAAACATGACCCCTATCGACCCCCACTATTAAAGGAGAGTAAACACAAACACAGATCAAACTCTAAATCCCTTGCAGCTCCTCTCAGAGCCGATCTTTGCACTAGATGGTACCAGTGCTGACAGGAGACAGAGAGTGAGCTATGATAAACGTGTATTTTTTATTGTGTTGGTCTGTGCCCTGAAGATTAGATTATACAGCTTCATTGCATTCTGCAGAAATGTCTTATCTGGCCTGTGTGTTTATAAGCGACGACAGCGGAAAGCAGTGTTCTCAGAGGACTCAGACGGCCGACTGTTTAACACATCACAACAAGAGCCAGATTCTGAGTTTGACCCTTCAGGTTTTATATTCATCATGTTGTTGTGGTATATATCGAAACTAATATATAGCTGTTAACAGGGTCGTGTTTAATTTGATCTGAAATAAAAACCATAACATTCAGTCTTTTTGTGTACTGGACAGCTGAGGCCTCTGTCACTCACTGTGCTGGGAGAACTGGAGGAACTGTCCAGCTCCTCGGGGGAATCCTCCTCTTCCTCGGGCAGTGTGGGCATGCTGGGGAGCAGTGGAGGGTGAGAGCGGGTGTGGGGGAAAATAAAAGGTGTCTCAGCAGCAGAGGCCTTGTCGCAGGACTTCTTGTAGTTATGGTCACTTTGCTCAGAAGGAGATTCCTGCAGTAAGTGTTCCTCCTCTTCCTGGATCGTAAACACACGAAGACACAAACACGTGTATGTTATGTGTGGACAGGAACATACGCATAAGATAAATAAGGGAACTGCTTTTGTCGCCTGAGAAAACGGAAAACAGGATACAGATGAATGTTAAAATTCTGAAGAAAAAACTTTCTGGATATCTTACCACAGCTAAAAATATGATACACAGAACAAAACATTCTCATTATAAACAAATCCCCAAATAGCTTCATCCTCAACTACTTTGCAACGGCGTTGTAGCAAACTTTCCTAACAGGCTGTGACTAAATCATCAGAAACAAAACCTCTTCCTCCAAACAGAATTTTGGTATGACTTAAGTGTTTGGCATTTCAAATTATGGGTATCAATCATTGTCCCACCACCTGGGGATCAAATGAGATCAGAAAATACTCATATAAGCAAAGAAAAACATGAATATTCATTTCAAGATATCATAGATTGTGTTTGACGAATGGAATTGTTGCTGTTACTTTCTGAGTGTTTTTTAAGGGATGGGGAATTTGCTGAGGGTGCCACCTGCTGGAGGGGCACCATAGAGAAGGAAGAAATGGATTTATGAATGGATGCCCTCTCAGCTTTTACTAATAAATCACTGCTTTCAAATACATGAACTAGTCTTGAAATGATAAACCCCACAGTACAGTACAGGAGCAGGGAAGCACTGTGGAGCTGCACACTGAAAAAACAATAACCTACTGGATGCTGACTATCTTGTGACAACACAGTTCATCTGCCCTCAGCGCTGCATAAGAACCCTTAATAGGTAACCAGGTGACACACTGACACTACTGATGCCATCTACACCGTGAAGGTGACTGATCTTTTGAGCCAGTTCAATCCAGACGTTTTGATCACTTGTTGTCACTTGTAAATCCAGATGTTTGCTTCTGTCTCTATGATGAAATTATGATAAGAATTATACCATTAAGTCAAACCCAGGGCACCAAAATGTCCAGATATGACCAACAAGACCTCCAACCTAAACAAATTGATTGTTTGGGTTTGGTAAAAATAAGGATTTCGGTTAGAGGACCTTCATTGTCATGGTTACACTAAAAAACACACAAGGTTTTACAAAAATCCTGGTCAAGGTTAGAGGAAACAACACAGAGAATGGACAGTGGTCCCCTATGATGAAATGAAAATGTTCTGGGTCATAATAGGTTAGTGACCTACAGGGTTGTTATTTGTTGGTATAAGACCCTGGTTTTTCAAATGATTCCAGTGATCTACAGGTGGTAACACTTCACTTTGCATATGGATTCAACACATTTGTTAGACCATAAGGACGCTCTCTGGTGAGAAACACTCAATGTTATCATGAGTTGAAAATGCAAAATGAAAGCACCTTACGTTTACTAAACCTTCCTTTAATGGGAACATTAAGAAAAAAGATGCCTTACTAGTTGTAGATTATTGCACAATTATCAACCAATAAGCAGAGATGTTATAATTTCATCTAAGAGATGTTGAGAGGAGCAATTCACAAAAACAGCAACACTCACTGAGGGATGCAAATGGCAAATAAATACAACTCAAGACTGAGCCTGCAGAGCTAGTGACATGTGTTCTTGTTCCCACACTGTGACTTTCATCAGCCAGAAGCTGTTCTAGGCAGAAACTGTCAGAGTGACTCGGATGCACCGAGTTGTTTTCAAACTCTGCTACGTTCAGTGTGACTTGTTCTCACAGGCTCACTGAGCTCCTGAGGGACACAGTAAAATAAACAGAGGGTCTCATAGAAAGATTATGAAAATAATACAAATATGAGCGGGAAGATAAGATGGAAAAACGATTTCTCCACACTACAAAAGTCTTAGTTTATGGTTGAAAGACACTGTCAATGATAAGAACATAAAATGTATCATTTAGACACAACGAAAAATAAAGTAACTGATCGATTATTGCGTCTGAGGAAATTAAGGCAACCAGCCACTCAGATAGAGGATGGAGTCAGGAAAGTGAATATACACATATATTATTGGCATTGATAACTAATGTTGTATCAGAATCAGACAACCCCTGATATCTATGTACATATATTATCTGTCAAAATGTTGCCGCATGTTCAAATCAAAAACAAAACCTGCACTACCACTCACTTTGTATGTAAAGCAAAGCTATATGATTAACTTCTTGATAAATCATTTAGTCATTTACTTATGTAAGAAGAATCCCATCATTTCTTATTTTGCCAGAGTTAAAAGGGGCATCTTCAAATATGGGAAATATATTCAGTTAGACAACAAATATTCACAATTTGGAAGCTGTAGAAAATGTTTTCAATCAGTAAAATGTTTGCTGAGTAATTGTTACCAATTTTAAAATTGAGATTCAACTTTATTGTCATTGCACATGTCACAAGTACAACACAATGCAGTTTACTGGCTAGTTTAGCTCAAAGTCATATCAGATGAATTAGGGGACCAATTGACTTAAATGTTATGTGTGCAACAGAAACATTGTTTGAACTCACAGCTCATAAAACATTTGTGACTACTGAATAGTCTATTGAATAGACTATTGTATGTACTATTGTATAGCGTGGAGCAGGTTTCACCTCCTGGAGGAGCACAGTGCGATCAGGCTCTAATGTCGCTCTCTATTTGTCATGTCTTCTAAAAATAGAAAGATTTACATATCCATGACCAGCACAGGTGTGGTTGTGTTTTTACTGCCAGCATTTGTCATCTCAATTCAGAAGCTGATGAACAAAGCGAGGAGAGAAAGCTGAATCAGATGATTGGTTTTTTCTGGGATATAATATGGAACACACTTCACACAGGACAGATCTTTGCTGCTCAGTGTCACCGCAAACATGACAAGATCTTGAGAACGTATAGGGACAGAGGGGCTGTGAGTCACTGGGGAGGAAATGGGTTGTTTAATTGTCTTCCAGATATTTCCTGACTACAGGAATACTGTCATGCAAGAGTGCATTCACTTCTCTCTCTCTGCCTGCAGGAGCATTTAGTACAGATGGTTTAATACTTTAAAAAGTTATTTTTCTACACAACTGTTGAGTTTAATGTTGAATTTCATGCAGTTGAAGAAACTGAGAGCGTTTATCTTTTGTTGACATCTTATAATTTGCCCTGATTTAAAAGTGTAAACTTCTGTCTGAGTCTGCTTCAGTTGTTTTTAACATGGAGACAGATCAATTTTGAGGTTCTATTGCATATATGAATATAAATATGAATATTTCGGATTGTGATGTGATACGTAATTACCCCTGAAGTCCAACACAGCTTTGGTTAGAACCACCTGCATTTTCTGTGACAAACTCAACTTATTCATCTTAATTCCACTTGATGTATTCATCCATTATTATTCTACTTATTCCACAACAAAATATGCCAAATAAGGAGAATACAAAGAGGAAGAACAGCAAAGAGATCACAGTCATCATCTCAAGAGTTTGAATATCTCATCTGAGAACGCAGCCGTGTCTTTTAAATTAATTTAAAAACAGGTTTTAAGTCTTTTAATGAATTTGCCCTTGAGCAATCCATTAACCAGTTGGTATGTCTTCTGCTGATGAAGAAACTATTACCTCTGCCCAATGACAATGTCCAAACACAGATGCCAACCTGCACTGTGGGAGGCTCGACCATGCACAGTGAGTGTTTCTCTGGCCGAGAGATTGAGATAAATATTGCAAAGTAATTGAATCACTCAGATGATTTCCTGCGCGGGCCATACAAGCCTGAACAAATAGAGCCCCTGCACCACCATAACAGGAGTACATCAATGTCTTGTTCTTACAGTTATGTTCTATAAGAAAACTCAGAGCCAGAATGAACTAGACACTGCCACCAGGCCTTGCTGCCCCTTTCCTCAGAGGGAGTCAAGGGGACCATGATCCTCCTCCTCCTCCTCCTGTTACATAAGCCCACTCCCTCATGCCAGATTTGTTTAAAATTTGGTTGTGTGAAGCAGTGAGCACAGGGCCCGCAGAGGAAGTGGTTGCTACGGAGCCACAGTCTGAGATAACATGGCAGAGGAAGTGCGAGAGAGAAAAAGAAATGGATGGACAGAGTCAGTGGACAAATCAGGTGAGAGAGAAGATAAACCCACTGACTTTAAAAATGCATCATACACACTGAAGAAAATACTAGATCACGTAAACTCACCGCAAAAAGTACAAGTCTGACCAACAACAAAAAAATCCCAAAACACTTGTTCCTGTACCAACAGCTCAAAGAGCTGTGGCTGCATCCTCTGCAGCAACACGTGTGCCCACCTGAAACCAAGACAAGCACAGACCCCGCAGCTCACCAACAGCCCACCACCCAAACCTGTCCTCAGGCAGCACACACTTTACCTGAGTCCACTGCTGTAGAGAAGCAGGCACACGCTCCGACTGGTCCTCTCCAACTGGTCCCCTCCAACTGAGAGCGACTTCCCACAGTCAAATTGTCACCCTCAGCCTTTCCCTCAGAAAACTCCTCTATCCTCGGGGCTTCTCCTTCCTTATCCCGTCCCCTCTGTTCCCTGTCTTTTTTCAGCAGCAGCCTTTCTTTCACTCCTGGGAGCTTTGACCATTTAAGGAGAAGGGCTCTGTATGCTTCTTTGGGCTGCAGTGGAGTGGGGTGTGTGTGTGTGTGTGTGCATGTGCTATGTGTGTGTGTGTGCTCCACTGATCATCCCTCAACTTCACCCTGAAGAAAGTTGGATAAAATATGATATTTTTTCAGGGGCTTGTTTTGGTTTCTGTAGTGTGTGAGCAGTAGGAGACTAGTGTGTGTGTTGTTGTATATGCAGGGGCATGTTTGTGTGCGGCTGATAGATGGATAGATCCCATCTGTGTGATATGTGTTTACTCTGCAGCATGAGAGGAATCCACGCATCTACTTCCCGAGCTCTTGAAGATCTTTACTGTTCGGTGAGCTGCAACATTTGTGCTGCATTTAGCATTGAAAGGTTTTAAGGGGCTGTGATCATCCCCGAATTGTGGGTAAAAAAGAAAACAGCACAGCAGTCACGTTGCTCGGGGGAACACAGCTGACGTTCACAGCGAATAACAGCATCACAGTTTGAATTAACGTGAGTAAGATGATAGCGAAGGAAATTGTTCATCAAAGGACTGATGTGTGCAAAAAAGTCAGATGTTCTTCTTATCTAAATCAAATCAAGTGAAAAAACTCTTTTAATTTATTTCAGCATTGAGATTGTGTTGTTTTAACCAGTCAGTGATAGAAAAGGATTTAGATTCTTTACTAAATACATCATAAAAAGATAAAACAATGTATAAGTGTTATACAGTTCTAGTAAAAGTCTAGCATTCACAATTTAACAATTAGGTACTATTATAAAAAATATACAGTAGAGAGTATTAGAATAAAAAGTAGTTTTGCAGATTAATGCAACTGATGCATGAGTGTGTCCCTGGCATCATATACTGTTGCAGATAAAAATAATATTAATGTTAATTAATAACTACAGTATTATTTTCTGATTAATGCAGTACAATAAAGTAAAACATATTCTATGATTTATAGAACAGTAGAGAGTAGAAAATAATATAATATGCGAGTACATGTGCCACCGAATCATACTCAAGTTAGTGCAACTTAAGTTATTTTCCACAAACGCCCAAATCACAAAGCTAAAAAGATCAGTTGCACTTCTTTATCTTTACACTGCAAGCTTGAAAGAAAGTGGCCCAGTATCACAACAGTCTCCTCTACAAAATTAACATTTTCAACAGGTCAGTAATAAAGACACACAATCACACAACCTGCAGTTCATCCTCTACAAGCAAATATCAAATCATATACAGTAATAAAAGCAGCAGAGTCTCACCTTGCTGCAGCTGCCGCATCCTGTGCTGCCTGTTGGAGCCAGAGCACAGATACACGGTGAAGACAGTTCATTTGCATTTTACAGGAAGCTTGTGCAATGCAAATGTCATGACGCCGTTAAAAAAAGAAAGAGAAAGAAAAGAGAGATAGAGAGAAAACAGACAGGGAAGAAGTAAATTGAGTTTCATGTCCTGTGAGGCTGACACTGGTGATGGGATGTTCACCTGATTAGTACTAACTACTGTAACTCTTGTTTCAGGAAGTCTCCCAGCCCCTCACCCTCCTACCTCCATAACTATGGGCAACAATAACCTGGCAACCACCTCGAGTGCACGAGGCGCTTGATCCACTGTTTGAAAGCTCTCGGCCTCGATGGTCTTATTGTGATATCAGCTACTTTAAGATGTTTAGCACTCCATCAGAGCTGAACAGCTCCAAATAAACCAGTATCATTCACGTCTGAGAGGGAACGAATTATTGAAGAAAACACTTCCAAGAAGTGTGACTCCTTGAAAGCACATGCTGGATTTTAAAACTATTTTAAAAATGACTGCATTTCACAGCCAGATTAGATGTCATAACTCATCACACACATCCCTGACGAAAAGCATGGAAATAATTACATCTTGGATGGAGGCCATGAAGATGTGAGATACCGTAGATGCTGGGAATATCTTGGCAGCTGTGTTCACTTCTACACATTCGACCTAATCTAACCCCGTTTTCACTTCAGACACCATCGCATACTTGTGTTTCTGTTTTTATCCCCATGATCTAAACAATGTGTCTTGTCCTGGGAGAGTTCAGCCTCACCACAAGTTAATTCACATTATCCACACTCCTTTCATGTATAGACCACTCGTCAAAGAGCAGATTGTTTATACTGTAGTCACCACACACACTAACAGGGCATTAGAGACCCACTGTGTTTCTAAATTATTTACATCCAATCTTCAGTGGATCTTGATTCATCATCACGCAGGCTGACTGGCCAACAGCGACATAAAACCTACAAAGAAGTTTTATTTTATTCCTTCGTACTGTTTCACTGACGAGGCTAGAGTGGATTTAATATCTCACATTAATGTTTTATTAGTTTAAAGTGGATAAAGGAGGAATATATAATAATTTTAAAAGCCTTAATGGATGGAGAGTTCTCTATAGTACCTGTAAGTAAAGTCTCACAGAGCTTTGAGCAGACAGTGTTTCATGAGTCTTCTACATTTTTTTAGATGTTTTTGTAAAGTTTTGATTATTATATGCCAGTGTATTGGCTTAATAACATATGACATATGTCGCTTTATTATGATGACCACAAAACTTGGTGAAAGGGTGCAGTGTCGCTAAGGGAAGAACCTCAGAAGAAAGAAATTGTAAAACCTTTTTTCACACTGCATTTTTCCCAGGGAATAATCATAGATATTGATTAAAGAAAATTCTACTCTGGTTAAGTTTCTTTCTTTTTTTTTCTAGTCCTGTTTTCTTCATTAATTTCCTTAATGTCCAAATATGTTCAAACATATGATGTAGAGTTTGTGCTCTCCCTGAAAAATAAACAAAAAAGTGAAGTATTCTTGAAGCAGTGCCAACATCTAAAGTTTGATGTGTGGGAAGAACTCCAAATAAGATCCCATCTCCCTCATTATCATCGACAGTAGCTTGATTGAACTGCACCATCCATATCTTAACATACTGACTTAAGATGGCACTGGACAATTTAAACTTTAGACAGAAGGCTATAGAGGAAACACTCAAGAAGACATGCGTAGAGACGACTGCTGCCCCCCCCCCGAGCCCACCCACTGGTTCCCAGCAACTTCCACTTCCATGCCCCGACCTCATCTCTACATCACAAATAAACAATTACATATAAGACGAAAGAGGAAGAGGAAAGGACTAGGAGAAAGTTTGCCATGACCCATTATGTAGCATTGTATGTTTTGTAAAATATATAATGAAATATCAAGATTATTTGTGCACAAGCAGCAGATTTCAGAAAAAAAGGATCAAATTAAGGCTTCACAAAAAGTTTCCCTTCAGTTTTGTGAAGACAGATTCTTGGAGAGTCTAATTTAGACGCAGTACATATGAAGCTGGAGCCAGAGGCTGGTTATCTTACTTTCGGATGTACAAACAAAACATTTTAATGAGGGGGCCTTGGGGTCAGAGCCAGGGTAGATGTTTCTCCACTTTATTTCTCTGTTCATTTTCTTCAATGGCAGTCATAATTCATGTGCACAATGTGTTTTTCCAATTCTGTAAAAGAGAGTTTGTTATTTATTTACATTTCCGTTGTTCTTTGAAAGCTGCAGGTCCTGGATCTCTAAGTGTCTTTAAATAAATTTGCTCAAAGCTCTTCAGAATAAATCAAACAACAGGGAACAATTGCTCACAAAGTGATTTGAACTTAAACAACTGACAAAGTATAAATGTGCTGCTGTTTAATAATGAGAAGTAACTAAAAATAGTTGACCCTCTGTGTGTTTACATAAAAAAAATCATTCTGACTGCCTCTCATTCCCCCTTTGATAGATAACACACTCCCTACGAGCTTATTCTCTGTTCCTCTTACTGTACCAGCTGTTGTTCGCAATATAAATATCTGCAGACTGCACAGTCTATTTGCAGACATCCTCAGGGACGACCATTTGAAACGGAAGTGGCTTTAATTCATCTGTGTCTCACAGCATACCGGACAGCACTGAAGCTGTATTTGTGTTATGCTGCCATCGTACCGTTCATGAGTGGAGGCTCACTGAGTTCTGGGATTATGGGTGACAGAGGAGGACTCTCTGTTCTTTCTCTGGTTTCAGGCTCCACGTCGGACTCAGCTGTGAAGCTGGTGACTTCTGGTTCAGGATCAGCCGACAGACCTGGACCTGGATACTACAGAGACGTACAGAGAGAAAATATAGAACTATAAATTTTGAGTTCGATGCTTCTATGGTTAGAATATTATTTTATGTATAAATGAGACAGTTACTACTGATACTACTAGTATAACTAAACAGGTGAGGTGCAGGTAAGCGTAAATCAATTATGTGTTATAAGGCTCTGTAATTTCTTTTACATTGTTTTATGTGACTTTAAGTGAAATTAAGATCAAATCAAAACAAACATCAATCATAAATATAAGTCCCTTGATGAAAGTTTTTCATCAAGATCCATTTATTCATTTTTCTCTAAGAAATCGATAAAAATGTTTAAAAAGCTCTGTCTTGCAATGTTAAAGAAAATTCCTGGATCCGTCCCAAGATCCCAATCCATATCAAAATTTAATGGCCTCTTCTCTGACCCATAATGCATTTTTTGTAGCACCCCGTCTGGTACTTTCTGCATAAAACACAGCCTCCTTGGTGGAGGCAATAAAGCATTTGTAACAAACCTGGTTTGGATCTTTTTCTGCGACCCTCTCCTCCAGGACATTCAGCTTCTCGTCCGTGGCACTTGTCCGGCCCAGAGCCTCCTCCACCCTATAGGTGATGCTCTCCATCCTCGCTCTCACCTGGCTCACCCGCTGCTCGCTCTCTCTCACCAGCTCAGCCTTCTCCAAGGCATTGGCGACCATGGCCTCCATTCTTCTGAGGGTCTTCAGAAGTCTGCTTGTGGTCAACTGAAGCTGCGCTTGCTCCTGCTGTGAGGCCGCTCCGCCTGTGATCTCCGTGGTCACCACCGCATCCCTCTGATCCCTCACCACCGTCCCGACAGCTTTGTCCGCCACTACTCTCAGAGTGTTGGTCCCTTTGTTAATATGACAAACTCCACTGCTGTTTTTTTGCTCAGAGACACACTCCAGTGCAGATCTGAGAGAAACTTGCAGGTGGCAGATCTGCTCCCTCATATCACTGATTGTCTTCTCCGCTCGCTGGAGCTTCTCTTGCGTTTCAGAGAGCTCCTGGGTCGACTGGGTCTCTTTGGTGCGGGCCTTAGCCTGCTCCGTGCTGAGGGCTCTCCACCAGTTCACCACTGCCACCTTCTTCCCATCCGGGATCTGAGTTTGGCTTTGCTTTTGCTCCTTCTCTGAGGCTCTCCTCCGCTCCTCCACCTTCTCCCCTTTCTCCTCCCACACACACTTCTGCAGCTCCAGCTCCTGCAGCCTGAAACCACCACCACAGCTTTATAAACATTTCTTTTACATGCTGTTATGTCTGTAGTTACCAAGGGGTACTAAAACTGCACTTATGCCTATTACAGTCTTACACACATCAGATAGTAACTCCTATGGGTTGCATAACGGAGATGCCTATAAAAACACTGTCAAAACCAGATACCCTTTTTATTAGCTGGAGGAAGCATCTAAGAACAGAGACTAACATCAACTGATTCCCGTCTGTTACCATAAGAGGAGAAAGGGAGGTAAAAATCTCACATACACATTGACAAGCTGCTGCTTGATGCTTGCCTGTTGCTGCTGGCGATGAGGAAAAGGCCTCTCCTGTGTTTCTACAGGAGAAGAGTCCTGTGTGTGAGAGATGAAACATGAGAGATAAGACAGGATTATACACGTTCATGTGAATGCATGAAGTACTTATCATCCTCTGGAGAATGTCTGCGGCCTCCTCACCCGCTCTGGAAACTTATTCTGCAGAAGATGAGCTATTTCTGTACTCTTGATCCTGTGAATGATGCTCTGAATATCATCAGTGTGCATGTGGAGGGATGGGAGGCCTACGTCGTCCAGAGCTCTGTGATGCTGTAGCCGACAAACAGAGCCATAACATGGTCAACATTAAAAACAGATTGTCAGATAAAATAACCTGTAGGAGAGAGTTTCTTACCTGCTGCATATCCTGCATCTCGCTCTGCAGGGAGCGGTGGTTCGGAGGATCTCGACTGTAGAGACTCTGAGGACTGATGCAGTGCCGGTCGTACCTGTCGGAACCAGCAGGTGGAATCTGCATTCAACACTTGACTCATAAATATTTGGCAAATTAAAATATTTGTCTTATTAATCTGCAATTAATTTTCTTTTAAGAGTTTTTGTTTTAAAATATGAAACTCTCCAATAATTATAATAGATTATAAGAGATGACACATCCCTCTGTTCAAGGGGCATTCCACCAGTTTAACACATGAAGTTCAGTTTAGTTGTCTGGAGCAGAACTTTCTGTTTGCTGAGCTGCATTCTAAGAAATGCAGGGTCCAGAATTTCTGGAGTTTTATCTATATTAGACAAAAACTCTGCATTTTTTGGTCCATGTTGAAAATAATTGTTAATATATGTCCACAACTGCCGAGGCAGAATTTGAATAGACTATTTTGTCAAGACAGGCTGGTGGATTAACTTCTGTTATCTTTGTGGTCAGTCTGAAAACAAGTAAATGGGTGAGATTTAGATGCAGAAATTTAGATTCAAATTCTTTTGAGAATGAAACAAGTGCCATCTACTAAAAATACCTCAGAAGAACTTGGTGTGAATGTTCCTGTAACCTCATCAGCTCTGACTGCAGATCCTGTGAGGTCAATAAAGAATAAACATACATTAAAAACCATGTCATAAAATATAAACACATGCAAATTGTCAGTTAATGTTAATCTGTATTTGTTTCGTGTCAGTGTCACACGCACCATGATCCTGCTGTGATTCTCCACGTGAGAGTTCTTCATCTTATCCATCAGAATGTCTTTCTACACAGTGATGTTTGGAAATAAAGTTAGGAATAAATAAAAACATAAACATGACACTTTTCTTCATTTCTGTGATGGACCAACCTTTGAGATTTCTCTGTCTCTCAGAGTCAACATGACCAGGGTCTCCTCAAATTCGGCCTGTGAACATTTATATGTTTAAAGCTCAAATAAAAGTCGTCATGGAGACAAACACATGATGAGAGTTTTCACTGATGTGTTTCTACCCTCAGCTCAGCGTTGACCTTCCTCAGTTTGTTGATGCTCTCTTCACAACACGTCCTTTCAAAGGTGAGTTTTTCATTCTGTGTGGACACAGGGAGATTTCTGCTGCATGAAATGAACATTTGTTTTCTGAAGAAAAAACCTATGTGGATTTACATTTTCAGATCAACATTACCTTGTCCTCAAGCCTCCTGATGTGAACCTTCAGACATTCAACTTCATTGCTCTGAAGAAGATTTAAGTATAAACAGTCACCATAAAGAATAGATTGAACTTTCAAGCTTCATCCGGAAACAGATCAGTGTAAGATGTACCAGTTTGGTGCAGCTGGTCTGAGAGCGAGCGACTCTCTCCTGAGCCTCTTTGAACGCACGACGGGTCTCCTCCAGTTCTTCTGTCAGGGATCTGACTCTCCCTGTTGACCGCTGAGCACTGAAAATATTTAAATATCCCTTATTCAGCAGGATGAATCTCTACTCTGATTCAAAATGGTATATTCTGGTTTTATTTGAATATGAACTAATGGAAAAGAAATAATCCAACCACATTACCTCAGCAAAAGTAGTAGCAGTTTTATATATAATGACAAAAAACTTTCTCTACCATGTCATTATCTTCTGGTCTCATTGGAAGGATGCATCACTCGATACATAAATGAATGTTACAAATGAATAGAAAATAATGATAATAAACCAAGTAACATTAAATGATAAATTATCCATGACAGCTCAACTCAACTACAAGTCTAAAATGTAAAATTTGTCAAAATATCTAATGTCATACAGGCCCAGACAAGATTAGAATTAAGTGACTCATTTATTTTCAAAAGATAATTTCTGTATGAAAAGGAGAAGTATTCTACATTTATGATTAGATTACAGGACTATACAGCTCAAACAACATCATTTTCACAGTCAATCTCTCAAGCTCTTGTTGACTGTTAACTACTAGCAGCTAAAAGAAAATATGCCTGTTAGGTGACATGACAGTGATGTGTCCACGTGTACTTCCACCTGAATATGTCAACTATTGAGTGAGTGGGATCTAAGATTTTTGTTCCTCCAGCTTCTCTTGGTCATTATTTTGTGAGACTGAAGTAATAAAGGAAATAAATAAAATAAAATGAGATAAAAATTTTTTAAGTAAAAATAATAATTAATGAATTAGTTTAGTTGCACTTATCTGTTGCACTTACATGTAGTTTAGCATTTTTGAAGCAGATTGAACGTACTTGATTCTTACTGTTCTGGGTTTGTACCCTCATGGTTGAATGCACTTAT